GGCAGTTTTCAGGCAATTTTTTGGCTATTTTCAGGCCGGTTTTTTGGGCAGTTTTCAGGCAATTTTTTGGCTATTTTCAGGCCGTTTGTTTAGCCCCCAAAACAGGATTCATACATAGCATAGTCTTGGGGGATGATTTCAAGGTAGGCCTGTAGCAACTTGAACCTAACCTACTAGCTTCACTGTGTGGCTGCCAAGGCTCTTCATAATCCCTTCTGGTTCTGAAATCCCAGCAATGAAGCGTTAATAGAGGGTTTCTAAAGTCCTTCCTTGGTGGTCTGCCATAGGGAGGTGGTGGGCTTAATTTGATTTGGCAGATCCTCCGTTAGGCCTGTGCTGGCTTGTTTCAAGAGCTTCAGCATGATTTTAAAGTAAGGAACTAGACAAGAAACCTTGAGGTTTTCCACATTTTGCTTGCACCAAGTCAAGGTGCATAATACTTAAGGCCAGGCAACAGATTTTGGTAGAAAATCCATCAAAAGCTTCTCTCATGTTAATAAAAATGTAATTAGATGCCAGAGATAGCCACAAGATTCTGCCTATTGGGCCAACTCTATGACCATCTAGTAATTCTAGTAATTTTAAAAACATTACCTCTTTTTATATATCTTTAGTTTAATCACTGTACTCATTAGAGGCTTTCTGGCTCTTCCAAATAGTTTTGTGATTGGCTTCTATGTTTTCAGTCAGTGGAAGATGCAGGATCATTTCCTGAGATGTCTAGAAGTCTGGGACTTGAATGTTTCTCAGAGGAAAGGACAAATTTAAGAAAAGGTACCTGAGTAAAATCTGGATTCTGAGAGGAGTTATTGAAATCTCTAAACATTCCTGTAGCCTGAAGGTACTTTCTTATATAATTAATCTTTTCTTGGTCACGGCCTATAATAGACAAAAATAGCAACTCTGTGAATGTGCAAAGAGATAGAAAGACCATTTCTTAAGGAAAAGCAAATTTAAGATGCTGTATAGAATTTCAGAAAACCTTTAGTATCACACCAAATATACAATATTGGGTACTACCAGTCTATTTAGTGTACACACTAAGAGCCTAATTGTAAAGTTCTAACCCATCTTTAAAAATGAAGAATGTAAACATGTCTGAATCATCATATTGACACTCCCAGTGTATACTTACACAGCTACCATTTATATGTTCAACAGTATATGAAAGTCATACTGTCTGTATGTAAACATGCAAATTAAATAAATGCATATGATCTATATATAAATGTGCATGTAGTATCCTTGAAACCACTACTTGAGTTAATAATACATAAATCAATTTCTTGAATTAATAAGTTTGTCCGTTACTAACTTTAATTTTCAGGATGACACATGTATTGTTTGTGAAATTAGATCAGATTAGAAGACTGGGTGAATCCTTTGATTTACTAAATAAATACACTAAAGCTGTGACGGCAAACCTATGGCACGTGTGCTGGAAGTAGCACGCAGAGCCATCTCTCCAGGCATGTGAGCCATCACTGGGTTCCGGCGTGCCGCTCAGCTGGTCTTCATGGGTGCAGGAGGCCAGAAACCGGAATAGGAGCTGCTTGGTGTGCACGCGTGCAC